CCCTAAAGGGGACTTCTAAGGCCCTAGCCAGAAATAATCATGGTAGGGATTTTCCCCACTGACGAGCATGCACACTCCTCCAAAAACTCACCCTAGAGGAGCCTTTTGCTCATCTAGGATTTTAATAGTAAAAAAACCACCCTTGGTTGGAGATCTTAAATGCTAATGAGATATGCAACATTTGTAGCAGCATGTATAACCACAGAGCATGCATGCCTAAAAAGACCTCCCAAAACATGTTTGCAAGTAACACCCCTACATGCCCCTTCATGAAAAATCATGTAAGATTCTCATAAAGACAGAGTCCTCCAGTAGTAGCTGCTGTTGGCTCATTCTCTCCAATCACACACTCTCTTGTCTTCCAGAGTGTACTGTCTCTTTAAATAAGCTCTGGCTACTACTATTTTTCCAGCTGGACCAGCTCAGAGCTGTTTTCTACTCCTCTCTAGGAATGTACTTTATCTTCCTTCAATAAACTCTGTTACTTAACCCTTGCTATGTGTCTCTTGGCTGAGTTCTTTCTTCCAAAAACCTAGAGCAAATATCAAACTTTATAGTGAAAGATTGAATGCCTTCCCCCCAGAACTTGGCTGAGTTCGTTCTTAGAAAAGAACCAAGGATTCCCACACTTCCTGTAACAGAGGAAAAACATTCTATCCTCTTATGACTAGGTGTCAGACTTTGATTCAGTGTGCCCTGGGATGTAGCTTTCACTGGTGATTCCCAGTTTGGTTTATTCTTGCTTTGTTTTCCCCTTGGAGAGCCAGGAAGGCAGGAGGGTGTTGTAATTGGATATTTCCTTTCCCTAAGGTCAATTAGAATCTGGAAAAAAATATAGCATGTTAGACTCTGGAAAAATAGATTATTCTGAGAGTAGCCCTTGTTTAGAAGAACAGAATACTCTGGGCATATTTTCTAATGACTCCTTTCCACTCCCCGTGCAGGAAGCAGGAATGGATTTGTCTCTGGTCTTCACTGGGAGAACCTGGTAGGGCTACTGGAGGTAAAACTCCAGAAAGTGTGGTATCCCCCTTAACACGGTGCCCCCAGGAGTTTTTAGCTCTCAAACTTGTCCATTCTGAGCCTCTAACCACTCGTCTTGTACAGGTGAGGGTTTCCTACCCTGGTACTTGTTCCTGGGTATTCTGCTCCTGGGCTTCTGCTCTCTGAGATTGTGGTTGTCTGTATCTGCCAGTGTCTTCAATTTTGGGTCAGCAGTTTGCCCTATGGCCTAAATTCGCTGAGTGATCTAAGTAAAGTTGTTGGTTTTTAATTTGTTCAGCTTTTTTCTTGTTCGTGACAATGGCAGAGAGATGTCAAGCTTCTTACAAACCCAACTGAAAATAAGAATTTAAAAATATTGAAAAACACATTGAAAAACTAGCAGTTTTAATAAAATTAAGAAATAATGTGTGTGTGTGTGTGTGTATATATATATATACATGTCTAACAAAACACGTACATATTGGGATGGTTCAAGCTCCAAAATCCTGATGAAAAATTTCAAGGAGGGGCAAATAAATAAATGGACATATCATGGTCACAGACTGGAAGATTCAGTGAAGATGTATGCTTTATATCAAAGTGATCTATAGATCAAATATAAGTCCTGTCAAATACCAGCATGAGTTTTGTGTACTTATACACTAGCTGATTCAAAAATATATGGAAAAGCAAATAAACTGGAATAGTTAAAACAATTTTAAAAACAGCATGATCAGGGGAAATCCTACTACCCAATTTTAAGATTTAATATAAGGCTACAGTAATCAGGTTTCTATGAAATTGGCTAAGGGATACAGATAAAAGTAATGGTATAAAATGGAGAATCCATAAACAGACCCAGACAAATGTAGTCAATGGAGTTTTTAGAAAGGAGTAAAGAAAATTTATTTGAAAAATGTTAGTCTTTTCAATCAGTGGTATGAGAACAATTGAACATCTGTGAGTTAAAAAAAAAACTCTTTACCAAAACTTCACAGGTTATACAAAAATTAACTCACAGTGGATCATAGACCTAAATATTACATGAAATGCCATAAATTTTTAAAGAAAACACAGAGGGAAATATTAATGGCCTAAAGTTAGGCAAAGAGGTCATAAATATGACATTAATCACATGATTCCTGAAGGAAAAAATGATAAATTGGGCTTCCTCAAAATTAAAATTTTGCTCTGAGAAAGACACTGATCAACGCATAAAAATTCAAATGAAGGATATGTCAAATAATTGCACATCATATATCCAAAAAGATCTTTTATGAAGTGTATTAGTCCGTTTTCATGCTGCTGATAAAGACATACCCGAGACTGAGCAGTTTACAAAAGAAAGAGGTTTAATTGGATTCACAGTTCCACGTGGCTGGGGAGGCCTTATAATCATGGCAGAAAACAAGAAAGAGCAAATCACATCTTACGTGGATGGCAGCAGGCAAAAAAAAAAAAAAGCCTGTGTAGGGCAACTCCCATTTTTAAAACCCTTGGATCTCGTGAGACCCATTCACTATCACCAAAACAGCACAGGAAAGGTCTGTCCCCATAATTCAGTCATCTCCCAAACCTCTAGTCAAAAGCCCTAGCTGAGATTCTAGCTGATAGCCAGCACCAGCTGCTAGCAATGTGAATAAGCAATGTGAATAAGCTATCTTAGACATCTATCTCAATCAAGCCTTGGGATGACCACAGTTTCAGGTTGACATCCACCTCAACTGCAGAATCAATCCCACATGATAATTGCTTAGCCAAACCCTTGTCAAATTTCTGGCCCATAAAAATCGCAAGCAAAATAGAATGGTTTATGTAAGTCGCTTAATTTTTTCCACAATTTGTTACATAGTGGTAATAATTGGAAAACAAGCTAAGAAATCAACCGATAAGAGGCATGTTTTTCTGTCTTCCAGTACCACTCCCTCTATGGCCATGTGAGCAGAACAAGTGGAATAGAAAGGAAGATGCCTTGAAAGAGAAAGAGATCTTCAGTTTACCCTCTCCTGTTGTCTGGATGAAATATTCCTATAGGAGGAAGATCTACACCTCAGCCAAAAGTGTGCTTTAAAGCATGTGGCTTATGAGCTATTAAACTGATGGAAAAATTGGGTATTACATTCGCTTGTGCCTTTAGTAATCCAAACATGTGTTATCATCAAGTGTTTGCTATGTGTTTAATGCTCTGATAGGCACTTTGGGAAATATAAAGAAATAATATAAAAGATGTCTTTTTATTCAAGGAGTTTACAAACTTCTCAGCATTATATATTTTTTGCCATTTGATTTAAACAGTGCATTTGAAACATGTTACAGTACTGGAATTCCATAAACAAAATTTAGTTTAACATTCAAGCCTCTCACTGTCTATTCCAGCAAAACTGAAACTGTTGTGCCCAGACAGACATGCTGGCTGGGAGAGTACTTGTCCCTTGTGCCTTTGACAGAGGAGCCAAGATGTGGATGAGCCCTTGTAGGCTCTCCCATAACATCTTTCACAGTAGGTCCTCAACAGAAAGCACCCAACAACTCCCAGGGGCCCCAACACATGCCACCCACATTCTGTTTGATTCTCATTGTCACCTTCTTTTGACCTGCTTTTAGTACTTTGTCCCCAGAGTCCTTCCTTTTGTCACCTGAGAGACATGACGAAGTGGTGAGAAATGAACTACTGCTCAGGAAGTGGGCCTCAGGCCGGGAGGAGTGGGAACAGCATGGGCTCCAGGGGAATCAGACTAGATATCTGGTTCCAGTCCTGTTACTTACTACCCTTGTGATCCTGGGACACTCTCAAGCCCTGTGAGCCTCAGATTCTTCGTCCATGAAGCTTGACCAATAGGACTGTTGGAGTGTATGTAATGTAACTGATGCACCTGGCTCCAGTCCTGACACAAATAAGAAGTTTACGGAATGGCAGATGGCTTTTATTTCTATTATTTGACCCCAGATCCTAGTATTCTGGGATTTTGTTATTGTTGTTGTGGTTCTCTGGGACTTCTCAGAAAATATGCAACCTAATAGGACATGGAACAATTACTCAGCCAAAAAAAAGGAAGTTTTGCTAATGCATTTCACTTAGTTTACCCTCTCACAGGGTATACTTCAAAATTTCAGTGTGCGAAACTCTCCCCCAACTGGGATACAACTCAAAACTCTTAGAATAAAGTCCTTCCTTCTCTCTCAGCTTCTTTTACATCCAAACCACATTTTTCATTGATTATATCATGACCCAAAATCTTTCCCTTGTTATAATTGGCCAAATTGCACTTCAGATAAGCTGGTTAGAATGTCCCTTTAATAGAATCAGCTCAGGCTATCACAACCAGGAAGAAAAGCACCTGGCCAGTAGCATCTGGGCCTCACATCCCAGCAGATTCATGCTTATCTCTCAGGAAACCCTTGCATAGGATGGATATCCATCACCAACCTCATGTGCTGTGTTGAATCACACTGAGACAAGCGTGTAGGACACCTCCCATTCCTGCCCCAGGAAGAGATGACTCTCTGTTTCCTCCACCATCCAAAAGGAACTGCTGAGCAATTTTCCTTTCCAAGCTTTTCTCTTGTCCTCTGAGAATCTGGCTCTGCCCCCACCCATTTCACTAGAATCAGCTCACCCAAAAGGCATTGTAGTTTCCCAAAGCCCAAAAGGCCTTGGCTCAGGGCCTGTACACTCCACCACTCTTACCTGTTGCCTCACACCCTCACCCCTCTCTTATATTTCCTTTAGATCTTAGGGGACACCTGGCCAGCCTAGTTAGATGAATGCAGATCCTAGACTCAACCACCATAAGGTTAGGGCTGGGCCTGGCTTACTTTAGCATCTCCAATACTAACCCAGGGTCTTCCAAATAGCAGAAACTCAATGAATGTTTCAGGAAAACATGAGCCAGTGACCAAGGGGACTTCTTTATTCATATTTAATTATATCACATTCTCAAGCCAAGCAAATTCAGGTACACATATGCATTTTTTAACTATACAGTGTACAGTAAGAGGTACAAGGAAGGCAAGAGTTAGCTACTGTTTGATTGGGATGGGTAGGAAATGCAAACTCTTGCATTAACCCTGGCCACATGCTCCAGGACTTTCACATAGCTGGTTTCAGCGAGGGCCCTTGGACCCCACAGGAACTCGTAGCGCACAGGATCACTGCCGGGCACCTGGCGGTACTCCAGGTAGTTTTCCTGCACCCAATCTTGGGTGAGCAGCTTCCTGAGCTCCCAATAGACGCTGTGCTCCCTCCCATCATACAGCCCCATCACACTCAACGCTTCCCAGATTGCCTCCTCTGGGGCGCAGCTGCCCTCCATTACGATCATGCCCAGGACGATTATCAGGAGGCCGGTCTTGGGCGTGCTCTGATCGTCACCCAGCAGGCCGTCATAGAAGAGGCCCAGGCAGGTGACAAGGACGTAGCAGTGGCCGGCGGGGTCCACTTCCTTCACGTCAATGCCAAAGATCACCTGCATGCACTCAGAGGCTTTGCTGAAGATCTCAGGAAAGTGGTTCTTGTAATTTTTGATGACACTCTCCAGCATTTCTGCCTTTGTGACCGGCTCCTTAATTTGATATTTGCGGAGCAGGAAATGAACTAACTCAGCCACTTTCTCATCAAGTGCTTCCCGGAAAAGGGACTCCAGGTGAGCTGGGTCTGGGGAGGTGCTTGGCCCCTCCTCTTCATTGCTGCTGGAAACCTC